TTGATAACCTTCTCTTGGATGGAACACTTCCCTTGATCCCCTGAAAAGGAAAATGCTATGCAGATGCAAATGCTAAATAGATGAAATGAAACACAAGCCAAGTAAAGAAAAAGGTTGGACAAATTTTGGGGTACAACAAGAAGCTCTTCAACCATCGACATAATCTCAAAAATTAATTTACATCAATGTTCATGTGTTAATCCGCTTGCAATAACTTGTCCTTTTCCATGACAACAAAAATATCATGAGGACACACTTCTCAATTTTCAGAGAAGATCATCCTCTCTCACTACGAGAGAGACATTTGATTTAGAGCCCTTATCTGACGTTGCCCCATCTGGACACTTATACTTTATATGTACAAGATTTCCATATTTCCAACATCTCACACCTTTCTCTGGCAACCAACATTGAATTTGATGAAGTATTCTCCTCACCCTTAAATCTTCTTTCTTAAAAAACAATCTTACTTGTAACTTCTTCAAAGTTCAAAATTGTCTTCCCAAAACATGTTTAATATGCTAATAGGAAGATGGAATAAACTATATGAGTCTTAAAGCTTTATCTTTATCTTCATCATCGATCTTGACTCCAATAGTTTCGAATTCATAAACTATATCATTTATAACACTTAGATGATTAGATACTTTCGTATGTTCATCCATACGCAAGCTATGAAACTTATCATTCAACAATAAACGATTTGATATACCTTTTCCTTGATATAGCCCTTCAAGTTTCTCCCAAAGATCTTTGGCTAACGACGTACCATGAACATTCGCAAGAATATTCTTAGTCAAAGACATGTGCATACTCAAAGCTCTCAAATCTAGTTCCTCCCACTTCTCGTTGTCCATGTTAGAAATGTTTCCTTTCAACACTTTGTGTAATACTAATTGTATCAAAACTTCTTTGACTTGAATTTTTCAAAAGGTAAAATTAATTCTTTCATCAAATTTATCTAAGTCAATCTTCACTCCACTTAAAAAATTTCCCACGATCCTCATGGATATCACCCATTTTAATATACATCTATCGAGGAACATTTCCCACTGATCCAACCGAGTCTGCTCTTGTGAAAATGAGGGCTAATCCACACTTCCTGATATAACGAATTGTGTACTGAAAAGGCTTGTCAACCCCTTTTCTGAAATTCCTTGAAGGGGAAGAAGTCACATACACTGTCGTTGAAGTACATGAGGGAATAACAAGAAAATATATGGGCACCTGAGCTTTAGCCAAAGAGGTTCTTAGAGTTGGGTATTACTAGTCCTCTCTATATGTTTCAAGATGCCAAGAAATAAATGAAGAAGTGCGATTAATGGCAATGACATGGAGATGCCTACATCGCCCCTCCGTCAGAATTACATGTGTTAATGTCTCCTTAGAATTTCTTTCAATGGGACATGGATATCCTCGTTCCTTCCCCATGGCATCAGACCAACTCAAGTTTTTTATTATGGCAGTTGATTAATTTACCAAGTGGATTGAAGTAAAATCATTGGCAACGATCACTACAACCCACCTCTTGGGGTCTTAAGAGGAACATCATGGCCAGGTACAGGATCCCTCAAGCCATTGTGGCAGACAACGAAACACAGTTTATGGATACAATTTTTAAGAAGTTGTTAGAAGACTTGAAAGTCAACAACACTTCATGGCGTGAAGACCGGAAGAAGACACAAATGGGGGTAACATGTGGTATTATAAGTGAGTAAACAAGCATATTATTGACCTATGGATGTGCGTGATAGATACGTAATGATGAAATCTAACCTCAACAAGTATTTTTACTGTTAACACTGAAATCTCTAATTTTATTTTCTATCATTTATTTCCTGTCATTTACTTTTCTGCATCACAATAACCACAAAACCCTTTCATACTTAGAATAATAAAATAGTGCTAAATTGTCATTAAAACCACTATTCTATGTGGATACGATAATTGTAATACTTAATTTTGCTGCTAACGTAACAGTTATACCCACAAACCTTCTTTCAATAAAACTTGAAGTTTTGCACTAGTTATCCTCCAAACCAAACACAAGATTTTACACGAGGCTAATTTCGAACCAAATGAGAGCTTTCATATCGGGCGCAACTCACGAACTAAACAAAGATTTTTAAAGATCAATCTCACATGTTGATATATAATATGTTAACAAGAAGAATTCGAGAAATCTTTGGCTTAAAACCGACTCAATGTGATTCATTTATGCATTTTCTAAAGTGAATATTGTCCCTTGACATGTTTTAATTAAATGGAAGAATACTTTACACATTATATATTTTTTTATATTCAAAATATCTTACATTTTAAAGAGAAAAATATATGTGCAAATAGATTAGCCAATATATATATATATATATTTTTCTATTATGATATTTGATGGAATTCAATTCCTATTTATATATTCTCTAAAATTATACTACAATTATTTTGTTTGTGGGTATCAAGTTGAAATATGTAGGTGAGGTTGACATACTTTACTCAATTCTTTGTAAGTATAGATGATGATTGAAGAACATGGAGCAGTCTAATGTTGTTGTATTATGATCTTTAAAAACTTCATTAACTAAAACTTTGTGTAAATTACACAATTGTTAAAACCCAAGTAACACCAAAAAAGAATATATTTAAAGAATCAAACATGTCCCCTAAGTATTCATTCAATAAAGTATTCCTCTTTTCTTGTCATTGAAATTCCTTGCTATGATTTTCAACTTGATTCTTTGAGCAACAATGTTACACCCCAACATGGGAAGTGGGTGGAAGAATCTGTTGATAATGATCATTATCCCATTGACAATCCCTCACAAGTCATGTTAGCATAACATGTACTTGTTGCTCGTGCTTTAAATAAATTATAAAATAATATTCTTACTTTTACATTAAAAGACAAATTATTAAAAAGTAAGAGATGAATGGTTATAAGTATCTTAAGTAAAAAACAAATATCTTTAGGATATTGATTATGGAATTTTATATGTTTTCTCAAACAATGATTCTCTATATCGGAAGAGTCTAGTTTTTTTTTTTTAATAATAATTATCACGAGTATTTGAGTCGATTGGACTTATCTGATATCAAATAATTTTAACCTTCTTTCAATTATATCTGCGGAAAATTAAACTATAGTACACTCTATTAATTTAATATTTATTATTATTAAATCAATTAACGATTGATTTAGAGTCTAATTTATTAAATTTAATTCTTAGAGTCTAGTTTATTTTGTTAGATCTAATTCTTAGCTGGTAAATGCTTTATTTATTAAATTATTAATTTTTTAACTTATTCTCTCCGTGTTATAAGTGTTTATTTTGTATGATTTTTTATTTAAAATTATTTGTCATTAGCATTGCAACATTTATTCATTTTTTTCTGAATAAAATATTTGTATATATTTATATAAATACTTTAATGATTACTATTAAAAAACACTTTAATAAATAAAACTTATTTTATTATTAAAAACGACACACTAACCATTTTCCTATAAAATATAGACAACTCAGATATAAAATGATAAATAAGTATATTTTAATTTTTTTAAAATAAGAAACATTAATTGTTAGTGGAGAATTGAATGAGTCATCTCTTTGTCACTCAAATATCTATGTTACTCCACTACCATATAAATGGATTTGCCCTAGTAATTGTGTCACACAATTGGACCTCTTCTTTCTTTTTTTTCTATCTCTTTTCTCTCTTTTTATTGTAAAATTATTTTATAATAAATAGAGACAGGTAAATTAAAAATTTGATACTAAAAATTAGTTTCATAGTTAAATCATCGACTCAGATACTATTAATAGATTACAGATACATCAACATAAAATAAAAGTCAATCATATATATATATAAGTGAGAGACGACTCATTTATCAAAACCTTAAAATATTAAATTATAAATATTTTTATTTATAAAATATTCAGTCTCACTTTTTCAAACAATATTAAACTTCTAACTTATACTTAAATCATATGTCTTTGTTTTAAGTAATTTATAAATTTAAAATTTACATATCTATCATCTTAAGATTTTACAGTTATTCACAATGTGTGATGCTGGTAACCAATATTCCAATGCAAATTACTCCTCATGTTAATCTCTAAATTTTCTAATGAATCCTTAACCAATAAAACTCAGACACTTGTCAAATAAAAAAAAAAGAAAAACATAAAGAATAGGTGGAGTCCACAAATAGGTGGAGTCCACAATGAATAGCATCAAATGCTTATTGGGAGTCGCACTGTTGCTGAATTCCAAGATCCACACCACAACCATCCATTATTACCTCTCCTTTTTTATTAAATTATTCAAACTTCATTTTCCCTTTTCCCTTTCTCTGCTTCCTTATTGGTACAATTCTAACCCATCTCTTGTCTCTCTCTCTTTGAGAGAGAGAATATGTGTCACAAAGCAAAGCAACTCACTAAGTACCTAATGCCAAATTATACTAATACCAATACCAATACCATTCTTGTGTAATTGCTTTCCCATTCTTCTATTGTGAGAAACCAAAACAAATTACCATCCTTTAATCGCAAACTTGCTGCTACTACCACTGCATAAGCTAAAAGGTTTCTCTTTCTCTCTCTCTCTCTGTTTTTCTTCTGTTATCACACCTTTTATTTTCCTGTTATTAGGGCTTTTATCATAATTGACTCCTTCAAAATTTCAACTTTTCTTTTTTTTCTCTTTAATACTGATTTTATTTTTTCTGGGTTGTTCTCTTTTTTTCCCAGGCTATTCAATTTTGAGTTAAAGTTTGGATTTTTAAGGGTTTTTGATTGTGGGGTTCTGCTTATTTCATCTGGGTCATGACCGAATTTGTTTTATCAGCTATGGTTGTTTGAATAGAGTCTAAAGTAAAGATTTTGATCTTGGTTGGTTGGAGTTGGATACGGTGAGTCAGTGAATTGGTGAAGGGTTTTTGCTTGGAAATGGTGGTTGGTATTGTTTGTGGTTTATAGGAAAATTTTTAGATAGAGATGGAGGCAGAGTCAAATAGAGGGTTTTGTAATGAAGATATAAGTTCATCTATGAGTAGACATGCGATATCATTTCAGCATGGGGCTATGAATAATAGCATGTCAGAGATGGTTCCAATGGGTAATTATTTTGGGTTGAGTAGTTCATCTGGTATGATATATTCTGGAAATTCAACTTTTGTCCACAACACCAATCCTGTTGTAAGTCCTCAAGCTGGTGGCTCTTCTCTTCTTCTTGATTCGGTTCCAGGGTTGAAGCATGACACAGGCTTGGCTGTTGAGTGGTCTCTTGATGAACAGTATAGATTGGAGGAAGGCCTTGCCAAGTAAGTCATTCATTTCGATTATTTATTCATTTATTAGCATAAGAGCCGTTTTAAGTTTTTGGAGACCCTGTTAAATTAGTTGCAGTTTAACTATGACAAAACAAATAGAGACTATGTATAACTATGGTTTAACATTGACAAACATTTTATGATGCCTTATTTAGCTAAGATTTAATCGCGACAAATTTTGAACCCCTTGCAGTAGCCTGTCTTACACACCCTCAAAGGGCGGCCCGATTAGCATTTACATGTTACCTTTGAAATGTTTGTAGCCGGTCTTGCACGTTCTCAAAGGGTGACATGTTACCTATGAAATGTTTGATTGGCTTTATGATATTCTATTCTTTCTTGAATTACATCAGTTTTAGTAAAAGCTATGCTAAAAAAAATTTATATGGTATATACTTATAGGTGTTAAGAATGATATTTCTTTCTCTTTCTATAGTTTATATTTTGTGACTTTTTTTTAATTTCATGATTGTTATGTTTTATGACTAGTTATGCGAATGAACCAAGTATCATGAAGTACATCAAAATTGCTGCTGCGTTGCCTGATAAAACTGTTCGCGATGTTGCTTTGAGGTGTAGGTGGTTGACAGTAAGCTCTTTTGCTTTCAACAATCTTCTCATTGTCCATATTTTATTGGTGCCTTTGAATGATACATGTGCTTTGTGCATTAGTCCAGAAGTAAATTTTAAATTCTAAATGCATAAAGTTGCTTAAGCATGTTGCGAAAAACTAGTCGAAAGTTGAGTATGCGTAGTGGAACTTCCACTTTGAGTCCAGCACAGAAGAAGCTTTTAAATCCTAAAAGCATTAAAGTAACTTGAACATGTTGCAATTATTAACTACTTGAAAATTGAATATGCATAGTGGAACTTCCACTTTCTAAAGCGTTCACAATAAATCTTTTTGTTTCATACACACCACTTCCTCCTATGGCCCTAGTTTTGCATCATAGCAATGTCTCATGTTTTGCATTGTTCCGTAGTTTAAGTGTTGCATAAGTTACGGTTATATCACCAGTTAAAGGCAGGGTTTTAGGTTTTGGCTCGTGTTTTCACCTCTACGCATGTTTATTGAGTCCTAAAATACCGTTTAAACCATTTTTGCAGAGAAAGCGAAGGAAACCAGATGAGCATTGTTTAGGGAAGAAGATCAATTACAGAAAAGTATGTGAAGTTTCGGAAGCTTCTGTATACCTGATGTTTTAAATAGGTTTTGAATTCCAAATATATTTCTATAAAAAGTTTAAATATATTTCACCTATATATTTAAACACAATGAGAGATCGAAAATTGAAAATTCTTTCTCAACGTTGGTTATTTGAGTTGATTGAAGTAATTTTCGATCTCTCATTGTTTTCAAAATGCCCGTATAATTGATTCAATATATCATTTGATTAGTATTGTTGATAAAATCATTTGCCTTGAGTCTTCTCGACGTGCTTGTCAAGGACATTGATGATACTCAAATGCTATGTTAATAACAAAATATGATTATGTTGCATCCCATAAACGGGATTCCATTTTTGATATATTGAATCAATTAATGTCTTTAGGATCTAATGTTGATTGAAGAACCAGTATTCTAAAGTCATGCTTCTTCAGGATAAGCCGGTGGAGTTAGCATCACATTCAAATTTGCATTCGGCGCTGCCCCCGAGCATGAGTTCGTATTCTCCCATGTCACGCACTATTGAACAAAGTCAACGGATACTATATGATGGTTAGTATATCTATTTTTTCTTAAATTATATATTCGTTATTCCTCGTTAGTTACGACTGAAATTTAGTACTCTTGACTTATAGTTTAAGAATGTGTGTTCAGGAATTTGTGGACCTATGAAGCAACTCATGGAGCAGAATGCTCAAGTTTTCAATCAAATTACGGCCAATTTATCGACGTACAAGGTGAAAAGCTTTAATGAATTTCCGAATTTTCATCTTTGATTATTATAGTTTGAAGTATTGTTTGATGCTGTGATAATGATCATGTTCTTATATATAAACAGTTGCAGGATAACATCGACCTCTTTTGCCATACAAGGAACAATATTAATACCATTCTAAACGAGTACGTGAATTTTGACAAAGTTAACTGTTATATCAAGAATATTCATCTTCTTTAGTATTGATTTTTTTACGTCTTTAAACTTTGCGCAGCATGAGTGGGATGCCTGGCATTATGAGCCAAATGCCGCCACTACCTGTTGTCATTAACGAGGATCTCGCAAGAAGTATTTTGAATAATAGAACTTAGGTAAGCTCTTGTTGAATCTTCAATAGTTGGATAAAATATCATATATAAAAGTTGATTGGTTTATATGTATTACACGAAATGTTGACTTCATCAACATCGTCTTTCAGATATCAAACTGCATCCATCGATGTATAGAGAGGTTGGCATCGTCGTGCAATAGTCTTTTCTGCAACTGATTTGGTGCTACATACGAGCGACTGAGGAGTCGAGAAGTAACTCAGAAATACATATCTCATGACATTCCGGAAATTGTAATCCATCTTTGATTATTCTAGGATTTGAAACAAAACTTGAGTTTCTTGTTGTATAAATAAATGAAATGAATGCTGGTTGTAAGAAAAAGAATGGAAATAGGAAAGTAATTAATATATGAATGGTTTGATCTGAATGCAGATAATATTGATTGGTGTTATAGGAATTGTTGCTAGTTTTCACCTTCCCTCTTCCATTGTTCTTGAATTACAAGAATCAAGCAAGCACAGCCTGCAACAGTTTTGGTGAAATTGACAGATCCAACAGTGACAGGTTGAATGCACATGATATTCTACTGACAATCTGTCTGTCCGATAATAATGACATTAAAAGGAAATCTCGTAATGGCCTCAGCTTCAAGCCAAATGAAATAAAATTTTCAAATCTTCATAAATGAAACCTCAAGAAATTAGTTAGCATTCTTTGAATTTTTTCATAAAATAACCAATTCTTAAAAAAAAAAACTCAAATAACCATCATTTTAAAAAAATTTACTAAAACAATCGCTTTTCAAACAAAATAGTTCTATCACATAGAGGATGCGCTATTGTTTGTGGAAGCACTCTAATTTATGGTGCGTGCATGCAAGCATTAGGAGTATGCGACATCCCTCTATCTCTTATGTTGCATTGTATTTTTTATAAATAGGTCATCCTCTTCCCACCATTTGCCATTCATCTTCTAATTCTCTCTATAAATTTTTTTTCTCCAAAATGTCTTCTATAATCAAAAGAAATGCTAATTTGACTTATTCAACAGTAAAGTCTTCGATGAAGATCCAACTTTGAAACATTGAGACTTTCGAGTATCTTAAAAGGAGTTTGTTCTATTCGTTAGATGGAGACATTGGAGACGATAAACAAATTAGAAGAATTGAAAGACTTGTTAATAAAGAACATCGTGTATGAGAGTCAGTTAAAGTTGACAATAATTGTCATATTATGATGCATAGTTCAGACGATATTGTTCTGATGGTTGCAATCGCATGGATATGTTGTTATGTTTAGTCATTCCATTTCTTTTCTGTGTTGTTGTTTTAATTGTTGTAACCGAAAGTTGTAATCATTATGAAAAGAAGTTGTTTTCAATATGAAATTAAATGGTTACATAAAATGAATTACATATAAAAAACGGGACTAAACGTGGATTCAATTATTATGTTATGGAACTTACTCTAACATTGAAACAATTTGTACGATTGTGTCCGGACTCACAACACGAACTACATAATCTTACAATTTTGTTCGCCGTATCCATTTTGGTTCGAATGCGCATGCTGTTATGACAACCATTTTTTTTGCATATATTTTTATTGTGCCAAACTCTGTTCCCTTGATATGCAGTCTAATAATCCTCCTTTGCTACCACAAGAAAGTTATTGTTGTACACATTACATATGTTTATGACTTTGTAAAGGCATGTGAGCATGTGAGCATGCCGCTATGACATGGATGCAAGGCATACAAAAGACTTGAAACTTTCCACAATCACATCAAACTCAATCTAGTTCGACCCGATATTATCCCCTTGACCTCCCCTCATAATAGTCCATTCTCTCTTCTACACTGAGCATACCTTTATGAGGATAAAACATTGTAGTCATATGTGTGTTAGGTTTGACAGTTTTCTCCTTAATAAATTTCATACAACTTTCATTGAATAACTGTCCTAATTGTAATACGGAACTCCATTTTAAACCTCTAGTCTTGAACAATGACCGTAACCTAAAATAGGTTTCTATCAACAATGTGGTTATCAGTAGATTTCTAATGCCTTTGAAGATGGAGTTCATTGATTCCACAAGACTTGCTGTCATGTGGCCCTATCGTTGACCACTGTCAAATGTCCTTGTTCACTTCTTAACTAGAATATTCCACCTTAATCCATATGCGTTTGTCAATATGATCTCTTTGCGATAGTGATGGAACAATGGTTTTGTTAATGTATACCCTGCGTTCACAACTTTTTCTAAAGCGTCTTGTCTTTGATCTCCTGTATGAAGTTTTGAGCGACATGTCTAATGTAGTAGACATGCGTAGAAGGAGAATCTTGCCAACTGTTATCAATGTTATTATATGCACTCTTAATATATGGATGCTTGTTTGAAATTAAACATATGTTAGGTTGCAGAGCAACATGTTATCGAAGATTCCTAAGAAAGACTCCATCCACATCAGTCTCCCTTTCAAATAGAGTGAAAACAATTGAGAAAATATTATTGTTGTCATCTCATGTCAGTGCCATGAGTAGCATTTTGTTATATTTCTTGTACAACCATGTTCCATCAATTTGAATAATATTTACCATTCAACTATGTCTCAAATTAGGGTGCATGTGTCACTGATAGTGACACATCCTCTACGTGACAAATTTTTTTAATTTAAAAAGTAATTCCTATAATAAATTTTTTGAAATGTTATTCTTGATTTTTTTTTTTGAAAAAGTTAATCATTTAAAAAAATCATTTTCGTTCTTTATTATTATTTTATAAATTCTAATTTGTAGAACAATTTAAAAAAAAAAGTCAAATACAGAAACCTCCAATAATTGGGTACGTAATATATAAAAACCTCAAACAAAATCGCAACTTCAACGTGAAAAGTTAAACTCTAAAACAATTATGAACTCAATTGTGACAGTTAAATTGTTGTTAAACAAAATTATATAATATATTTATCACGATTAAATTGTAATTAAATAGCATTTTCATTTGTTGTTTTTTATGTTTAAATTTACATAGTTTCAAAAAAACTTAAGTGGTTTATCATAAGAAACAAGAAAAATGCTATTCTTACGCCCTTTTCTACACTCAATTACTATTGAGATTTGAGACTCTAATTAGCAATAATGAGGTACATAATATATAAACACTTCTAACAAAATCGTAACTACAACATGAAACGTTAAACTCTAAGACAATTATGAACTCAGTTGTCACGGTTAAATTATTATTAAACAAAATTATATAATAACATAGCAATCCTGAAGAAACAAAATACAGAGAAACAAACACCTAATTACTATTGAGACTCTAATTAGCAATAATGGGGTACATAATATATAAACACCTCTAACAAAATCGTAACTACAACATAAAACGTTAAACTTTAAGACAATTATGAACTCAGTTGTCATGGTTAAATTATTATTAAACAAAATTATATAATATATTTATTGTAATTAAATAGCATCTTTATTTTTTTTTAATGCTTAAATTGGAGTTAATTTACATAGTTTCAAAAAAACTTAATGGTTCATCCTAAGAAACAAAATATAGAGAAATTTTTACCAATATATTCTATCCACTTATTCTATAATAAAAAAAATCGTTTTAAAATTTACTGATGCAAACTATAAAATTTCAAAAACAATGTCAAGTAGATTCTTACTTTAAATACAGTCCTCAGATAAATATGTTTGGTATCAAAATTATGGTAAACAATCTTTATTTTGACAAAAATATCATATTATTAAGCATGCTCAAAGCAATTCAACTTTTATATTATATATTCTATTGGTATCTTTTTCAACTTTTACTCAGTTTAGTCAAATTAGTAATTTTTGTTATTACATTTGATTGACATATTTTTGTAGGGATGTCACAAATATTATTGACATTTTGTCTCAGATTTTTTTTTATTATTCGCCAATGCACAATTATTTTAAAAAGCTTTATTTTTGCTCGATTATTTTCAGCATTCGTTGAAAGATTCAGTTAAGATTTATTATGGATAGCTTTACAAAGGTTTCGTTTAGAATATTTTTTAACTAAAACAAAATTTGCATGAGGAAAATTTAATTGGATTTGGTTTGCTGAATATTAAATTGAGTTAAGTTGATTATTAGTTGTACCCTAATGGCTTTTTAGATGAATCAAGACATTTATATAAAGAGATCATCAGGACACGGATAACTGCTAGGGCTGACGTGGCGTCGTGAAGACAAGTACATGGTATTCGCCCTAGTGTAACTGTTCCGTGCTATTCGGGAAGTGGAGGACCGAATCATCAGGACACGGGTAGTTACTTGATGACGTGTCCCCATGTAGGGGACACGTAGAGAACGTGGGGAGGCTTAAGGAGCTCCCCGGACTGGCTGGGCTCTGCCCGGCCATGGGGCAGAAGAAGACTGGTCGGACAACTATGAAGGTCCTGCCTGACGGCTGCTGGTCTGTTTCCGACGGGAGGAGGTGTTCTGGCCGACGGACCTTCTACTGTTGGTCGATGAGGTCTTATTAGGCCTTCCGACCAAGTGAGGTTTGGGTCTGTCCGACGATGGGCCAGACATCGGCCCAGTCCAGAACAGAAGGTATCGACTTCAATGATGTGTTCTCTCCTGTTGTGAAGCACATATCCATTCGAATGTTGCTTTCCACAGTGACACAGTTCGATCTTGAACTGGAACAAATGGATGTGAAGACTGCGTTCTTGTATGGTGACTTAGATGAAACAATCCTGATGAGGCAACCTGAAGGGTATGTCGAAAAAGGGAAGGAAGATTATGTGTGCAAGCTGAATAAATTCTTATATGGACTGAAACAATCTCCTCGACAGTGGAATAGGAGATTCGACAAGTTCATGACACACATAAGTTTCATCAGAAGTCAGTTCGACCATTGTGTTTACTTCAAATTTCAGTCGGGTAATTCATTTGTTATTTTGTTGCTCTATGTGGATGATATTCTAATAGCAAGCAATAATGTCGAAGATGTAATGAGGGTGAAGGTTGAACTCAATAAGAAGTTCGAC